AACAATTTCCTCCTTTTTTGATAATGACAAACCCAACCATGTGAAGTTGCTTGGGCTTAAAAAAGATAATTTCCTTTCTCAAAACCACAACAAAGAAACAACAAGATAGATCCAAAACATACATTTAATTTAATAACACAAAGAGTTAAGAGTCAAAATTCAAACAAACTACTTCCCCTGTTTGCAAGCACTTTCAAAAGCACAAGCAAATACTCTTCCGGTCTTCCCCTTTTTGTCATAAGCAAAAAGGGAAGAACCAAACAAATAAAATGTCAATGTAAGGATCAAAACACAAGGGGTTAAACCATGAAAATATGAAGAGCTAATCAATAATAGTCATAAACAAAGGATGATAAAGAATAGAACAAGAAACATCCAAACCACTCATTCCTCATCCATGGGTGCATCATTTACAACATCACCATCATCTCCATCATCATTGTGAAAAGGAGCGGTATGGGAAAAGGAAGCATGATGCATATACGGCGCAAGAGAATCCATGGAAGGTGTCTCCCATCATTGACATTTTAAACCCCCCCTTGCATAATCTTTGTAAATTCCTCACACATAAGTTCGTTAGTAGCACCAAAAATTATGTCATCAACATAGATTTGTACTAAAAGCATCTCAATATCATTGTGCTTAATGAAAAGTATGGAATTACTAAAACTTGAAGTTAATGGGGTGCCAAATGCTTCCTAAAACCATTTGGTGATAGAAAGGTGGACACTTACTATTTAACCACATCTCTGTGTAGCCCCAAGTTGAGGTAGATTCCTATAGGGCACCCCTTATAGTTCACTACGGCAGTGCGAAGCCCCACTACTGAGCGGTGGATGGACAAGAGGGGCTTTGCAAGATACACGACTCATGTACCTCGTCAGGTTGGGCTGTCAATACCCGATACCATGACAAGCACACTAGCAAATGCCTAAAGGTGATCGATGGTCCTCCATAAGACCAACAAATCTAAGAGGCTTATCACAAAAAATAACTTTTCTTGGGGTGATTGGAAGACCACCTAAGATGATGGAGAAGTACTTTGAAATGGAAAAGTAGACATTTTCCCCTTTGTAAAAACTGCTGAAGCAAAGAGGAAAAACTAGGGAGGCAGGTTCTCTGAAAACCAAATCAGTGTCAAGTGTAACAAAAGAAGTGTTTAAAAACATGTTGCTGCACAAGGACATACTTGCCATCCAAGATAATTAAGTGGCCACATTTCATGAGCAAAGATCCAAGATAAAGCTAGGCCGCACATTCTTGGGAATGACATAGACTATGTCATGGCAAGCACAACAAATACTTTCCAGATTTCCCTAACAAATTAGCCTTGTAATTCTCTAGACCTAAAAATTTTGGATTTAGGTTTTTAGTTCTCTACAATCATTGAAGGATCAAGAAGCTTCTACCAATGTCACAGAGTTGATGAATGTAGTATTTGATGCATATGCTCAGTTCTCACCTCATACACTAAATAAAGTGTGGCTGACCTATCAACAAGTTATGGAAGAGATAATGAAAGTGGACGGGGGTAATAACTACAAGGTTCCACACATGGGAAAGGATGGTATGTACAGAGAGGGGACATTGCCTTATGTAATGCAACTACAAGAGGGTGTGTATGATAGAAGTGTAACCACACTTAATGGGCACAATGGGCCACCGCTACATGTGGTTGAGACATATGAAGATGCTTTGGGTTAGTTCATTCTTGAAGAAGATAAAGGGTTCATTCTTCCGAAATGAACTAACACCTTGCAGTATCTGGTGGTGTTTGGGTTGTTGAATTTTGGTTTTTTTGGCTATAACGATTTTGAAGCAACAACAACAAGCATTCATGCAAATTGTAATCCAATATAAATATCGAATAAATATTAATCATCATTGCAATTAAACATGCACAAACACACATAAGTACACACACACACACTGCAGAGGTGCACACACATGAGTAAGGTACAACAGATGTACACACACACACCCAATGCAAATACACACTGCAGAGGTGCACACACATAGGTAATGTAGAACAGAAGTGCATAATGTAACACTCAACAGGCAAAAAGCTCATCACAAAATGATCAAGGGTAATGGAGACAATTGCACACACATAAGTAGGCCAGATGGCACTGCACACATATATTGGTATGGTACAACACAACTTAACACAAAAAATCAAAAACCTCATTACAGCATGCTCAAGGCTAATGAAGACTAGTGCACACACACATAGCTAATGTAGGGTACACCACAAGCGCACAATTTAATAGAAGAAATAAGAAACTTCATCATCGTATGCTCAAAAACTTCATCACAACATGCTCAGGGGTAATGAAGACTAGTTGATACACACACACTGTAGAGGTGAATAACATAGGAGAGAGAGAAAAAAATATTGTAATCTATTTCGGAATGAAGAGAATATATAGTCTGATCCTGTGAATAGTGTACGGAGTAACAAATAATAATAATTGTAATAATATGTTTTTGAACACTAATAACTCTATTATAATGTAGTATATATTCATATATACTCTCAACCAATTAAGTCCATAGAGTTATTACCCTCATTGGGAATCGAACATATATTCTCCAATATAAGAGAGTCACTATCACGCCACTGAACCACAAAGTCTTTGACGAATTAATAAGTTATTACAATGATTTCACCTCTCTTCTTTTGACAACAAGAAGTGTTGTCATAATATGACAACAATTTCAATAAGAGTACATATGGTGCTCCGATCGTAAAATTAATAGTTTCTACCCCCTTAGGCCTTAACCCCTAGTAAACTCTCCCACCTTAGTCTTGCCCGAACCCACCCCAAGCCTTCAATTTTATTCTCCAAATTTATTTGACTTTTGGATCAAAAAATTTGGATACAAAAGTCAAACAAATTTGGGGAATAAAATTGAAAAGGTTGGGGGCTGGGTTTAAGTCAGGACAAGGTGATCTATTTATTGAGGGATTAGGAAGTATGAACTTTACGATCGAAACACCGTAGGAACTCCAATTGGAGTTGTCATATTATGACAATACTACTTGTGGTCAAAAGGGAGTTCTAATGATTTGAATAAGTTACGAAGTATTGTAATGATTTTAATTTTTATTTGAAATAAATAAGATAAAATCATTTAAATCAGATCTAATTAGAGGTGAGCAAGTACCAAACCGATACCGAAATTTCTTGAAAAAACCGAGAATACCGAACCGAAAAATACCGAACCGAAAAAGTACCGAGAAGGAACCGAACCGTACCAAATCGAATGGTTGGTACGGTATTCAGGAACGGTACAAGGTGACGTCCCATACCGAAAATCCCGTACCGAACATATATACTAAAATATTATAAAGATAATACCCCAGAGTAATATTTTTATATATTCCTTCACTAAATTATACTCACTCCGTCCACAAATAAACTTTACATTGCGCGTTACGATGTTTGACTGAAGTTATTTTCAAATCATTTTATATGAAAAATGGTGTAGAATTGAAAAATAAAAATTACATATTAAAAAACTATATCAAAAGATTTACAAAACTAGAGGTGACATGACTATATTATTTTATCAAATGGGTGACGAAAATATGCCAACAAAGTGAATAAAGTTTGACTTTGTGAATAGTAAACGTAAAGTTTATTTGTGGATGGAGGGAGTAAATTTTTTTAGAAAAATTGGTTCAAGTTTTATTATGTGTAAATTATACTTTTATTTGAGTTTTAATTATTGTGTATGAGCATAAAAGTATTCACAAAGATTCAAATACTTCTTTGTTGTCATTCATTTTTTTAGTTTGTGAAATATAAACTAAGTTTTTGATACGCATCTCTTGCATTTAAATATTCATTTTTTTAATTTTTCATGTTTTTTTATTTAAATTCACTTTTAATTTTCAAAAATAAAAGGGTATTGTTAAATTTTAGCGTGTAAAGTATGTATGTATCTTCATCTCGATTTGTACCAAAACCGACATCGATGATCGAACCATACCGAACCGATATTTCGGGATCAGGATCGGGATCGGTACGGAGTAAAATCACATACCGAACCGAAGTATTTGGTACGGTATTGGTACGAGCTAAATACCGTACCATACCGTACCATGCTCATCCCTAGATCTAATAATCAGATTAGATACAGGCCGTGTTTGGAAAACAGCATTTGGGATAGCTTTTGGCATCTTTGACTGACTTTGGCTTTTTTGACCAAGCGAACCGCCAAAACCATTGTTTGGCTAATGACTTTTTCACTTGGCATTTTGATCCGAAAAGCCAAAATCTGAAATGCCAAGGTGAGTAGCATTTGGATTTGGCGGTTAGGAAAAATATTTTTTTTAAAATCATTTTTGTTGAAAGATATTTTATAATATATGTAAAAAATAAAAATAAGTTAAAAAAATTAAATACGAAAAAATAAAATGAAATTAAAAAAAATTATATTTATAATTCATTAGAAAATTTATATTTATAATTTATTATGAATTAAATGAAATTAAAATTTAATATTCCATATAGTAAAGATTTAATTTTTACATGTAAAAAATGAAAAATAAATATCATGTCTATATATATATATATAGACACACACACATACATACATACATACATATATATATATATATATATATATATATATAATTTTTTATTTAATTTTTTTAATTTAAAAAAATATATTTATGATATGATATTTAAAAAAATTGTAAAATAAAATATACCATAAATGGAGGGATGTCCTTTTATGTAATTTTATTTACAAACAGCTAACTATAAACAGTTAAAGTTGCCAAACACTTAAAATTTAACTGCTAACAGAAACAGTTGGTCAAAACAGCTAACTCAATCAGCCATTCAAATCAGCTAACATAAACATCCAACAGCCAACTGCTAGTATCCAAACAAAGCCACAATGAAGCTTAAACTTAATCAAAAATCAAATTCAGATGTAATCAAATAATCGACCAATCTGCTCAGCCAAGGGAACAGCCTTACCTGCGTAAGAATATCAAAAATCAAAATCAGTAAGGGGCACGATAACATCAGTATACCTTGCTCCGACACACTGCATCCCCATCTAGCCGCCCCAGAACATCCGCTGCTCCGCCGCCGCACTTCTCCGGAACTAAGAAATTCCCAGCAGGCGTAGCTTTGGCCTTCTAATAAACCTCAAGAAATGGCTAATTCATGTATGGCTACAACTTCAATCTCGAAATTTAACCACTCAATCTTCTCCTCCAAGTCTTCTTCGTCTTCCGAGCGCAACTACTCTCTTTCTCTTCCCTTTAAACCCCTTTCTTCGAGGTCTTTCTCTCCCTTTCCTATCTATTTATACGTTTCACTGTTTCAGTTCCCATTTTCGTGTAGTTATTATGAATTTTGTTTTATTGTGAATGCTTGATAGGAAATTGATTGCGGTTGGTGTAGTGAAGAATCCTGGTAAAATTGGCACGGCTAAAGCTGTGTATTCCGGAGCGCATTGGAATACAGTGAATGTTCCGAGGCCTGGGGTTTGGTCTATCAGGTAGCGAGTTTATTCTTTCAATTGGTTGGTGTGGTGTCAAATGTTTTGCATGATTAATATTCAATTGTTGTTTAGTTTGGGAGTTGAAATGGGATTTGTGAGGTTTTGAGATCTTTTCTGTAGTGGCATTAAGATACTAATCAGTTAGTTTGAAATGAGATGTTTTGAAGAAAGATACTAAAATGCACTTAATGTTTCTCGATCAGCTATATATCAAACATGGTCACGAGCAGGATTTCTTTTCTTAATTACGATTAGGATTTAGGATATCATGTACAGGGAAGAGGTTGAGAAAAACACTGAAACACGAGTTTTCTTTTTGTTTCTAATAAAATTTCTCTTCCAATTCCATTTACTATCTAGCTGGATTGATTTTTTTTGTCATATGTGCCTTATTTCTTTAAATTTACAGAGATGACTTGCAAGTTCCCTCATCCCCATATTTTCCTACATATGCACAAGGTCAGGGTCCACCTCCAATGCTGCAAGAGCGATTCCAGAGTGTGCTTAGTCAGTTGTTCCAATATGTAAGGATTATGTCCTTCCTCCCTTTCTGTTACAAATGTATGTTCATAAGCTCTTTGCTTTTCCATTCTAACCTGAGCAGTGAGCATTAAATGAATTTTAGAGGATTATAAGATGCGGTGGAGCAGTTGATGATGATATGGCGAACACTATTGTGGCTCAGCTTCTTTATCTTGATGCAGTAGATCCCACCAAGGTCTTTATCTATATGTTCTGTACATTCTTTTATCGAGTTAACCTTAGAACAAATATATACATAATACGAAATGTGAGAGTTTTTAGGAATTCTTTAAGATGTTCAAAATTCTTGCATATAGAAAGCTCATTCTTATTTCTCATTTTTGCATGGATAAAGATATAGTCGATAGTTTTGATGCATCATCATCTGACGCAAGTCATTCTTTCCCACCATCTTCTTGGTTTCTTATATAAGATAACATTGGAATGCTAAATTAATATATTGATTCACTTGATATTCTTGTTTCAATAACTAAAGATGTTTTTTTAATTCTATAAAGATAGGGCTAGCACTATTTCCATGCAAGAACATTGTTTATGCTTAACCTGTCATTATCACTGCCAAAGACCATAGTATTGCACTCACATATGGAAGTTTTCATTCACATGACTACACCTAACGAATTCCTGAGTAATAAATGGATTTTCTGTGCACATTACTGCTGTGCTTTTGTTCTTTATACACTAGTATTTTTCTATAACACGCGATGCAATTTTCATAACACGCGATGCAATTTTCATAACACTTCCCTTTATGTGTTTTTTTATTCTTGCAAGAATTCCATGCTTATCTGTTTTTATGACATAAAAAGTTAATACATCCGTGTTGCTCGCATCAGCATTATTCATCTTACATACATATTTTTTATACAAAATTTAAATGATTTTGAAACTTCTTAGCCTCATGATCCTTGTAATTTCTGTTATGATCTTTTCAATGTATCGGCAGGACATTGTTATGTATGTCAACTCTCCAGGAGGATCAGTTACAGCAGGTGATGATATTTCCAGTTTTAATTAATCTTTTTCTGTTTTGTTTATGCATGTTATCTTCCTTGTTCTAGCTTGAGCTCCAGCTCTCCACTTTAAATCAATTATTCTCATTAACATGTATACACAGGTATGGCCATCTTTGATACCATGCGGCACATCAGGCCTGATGTCTCTACAGTTTGTGTTGGACTTGCAGCAAGGTATTACCATTTTTTCATAAAATTTTTATTTTTCTTTTGTTGTCATCATGTTCTGGGCACAAGTCAAATTCAATAGCTGTATGTTGGACACTCATCTAACTCTAATATGATCACAATTCCATTTCCTTTTTTATTTAAACCAAATCAGACCAAACCAAGCAAACCTAGTATATACCACTAAAAAGTATCGTCTAGGACTCTAGGGGCAAGATTGATGCTCACGGTACCTCTACCCCAAAAGGTGGAGACACTTTTTTTTCGAGAGGACTCCTGAAAAAGAAGCAAAGTAGTGTGGGTAGTTTTAAAAAGTGTAATGGAGCTAAGAAATGACATCCTAACAAAAAACACCAAAATGACATTGGGCTAAGTGGGCAAACCCAACAGCCCTAATAGGCTCACACTCTTTTGTGATTTGTGTAAATAAATAAATGGTAAAAACCACTTAACCATAATGTAGAGTTGTGGTTCCCATTATGTGTTGGACTTAGCGAGCACCTATTGGGGGGGGGGGGGGGG